CCCACCCCCCACCCCGCTCCCGCCCCCACCACGCATGCCTCACCTCGAGCGCGCCGCGCAGCACGCGGGTGATGGCCGTGTCGCGCGTCGGCATGCGGGCGCCGCCCGCCTTTGCGGACGCGCGCGCGGCGAGGCACGCCTGGAGGGGGGCGTGAGGGCGAGGGCGAGGGCGAGGGTGAGGGTGAGGGTGAGGGTGAGGGCGAGGGTGAGGGTGAGGGAGAGGGCGAGGGTGAGGGTGAGGGTGAGGGTGAGGGCGAGGGTGAGGGTGAGGGAGAGGGCGAGGATGGGGGGCGGGCCGGCCAGTGCGGCGGCGCACCTTGAGCGTCATCAGCGAGCGGTTGACCTCCTGCGTCTCGCGCACCTGCGGAGGCGCGTCGAAGACTCACGGACACGCCCTCCAACAGAGTCCCACCACGGTGTCTCCGCCCACCCGCTCGGCGCTGTTCGCCGCCTGGTCACGAGCCCACTCGGAGCCCGCCAAGTCCACGAGCGAGAGGCAGCCGCCGTCTGGAGCCAGCGAGAGGCCGCCGGGCTCCGCCGCCCCCGCCCCCTCCTCCCCTTCCCCCTCGGCCGCCGCGCCCTCGTGGAGCGGCTCGAGCCGGTAGACTGCGTGCGAGCGCGAGGAGCCATCGTGCACGCTGGTCGCGGAGGTCGCGCGCAGCCGCGTCGCAGCGGCGATCGCGGCGACGGCATCCGCCGCGCTGCCAACGACGAGGGCCGCGCCGCTCGTGGTCGCCGACTGCACGCCGAGCCGAGCCGCTGCCGCGGCGGTGAGGTCGCCGGCGCCGGCAGCGGCGGCGGCGGCGGCGGCGTCGGCGCCATTGGCGGCGGAGGAGTGGCCTGGGTGGGCGGGGTGGCCCCGCGCGGGGACCACGTGCGTCGCTCCGTGCGCGTCCCGCAGCGTGCACGGGGCGCCGTCGTGCAGCAAGTCCCTCACGCTGCTGCCCGCCACCTGTTCACGCGCCGAGGTGTGAAGAGACGCCGCAGGCAGCGGCAGACACTGCCGCGCCCGCCACCTCAACGGCGCTCACGCGCCAGCCGAGCACGTCGAGCGGGAGGTCGCCGCGCAGCTCATCGAGGAGGCCGCGTGTCGTGTGCGTCTTGCCCGAGCCGGTCTGGCCAAAGCAGAGCACGGTCGCGACGCCGCCGCGCAGCACCGCACCCGCCACGAGAGGCCGGACGGCGGCGTCGTACAGCTCGGCGGTGGAGCGCCGCTCGTCAAAGACGGCGTCGGCGTAAAAGGCGTGGCTCTCCACGAAGGGCTCCGGGTGCAGGGTCGCGGACATGTCGTGGTCGAGGGCCAGGAACGGGCGCGTCACCCACAGCGCCGCCGCAGGGCCGTCGCCCCAGACGTCGTCGCCGCCGTCTGCGGTGAGGACATCAAAGTCGCGCCGAGCCTCATGCTCAAATAGTGGCCGCTTCCGAAGGACAATCCTTGGCCTCGCGTCATCAGACGCTGTGGTGTGGCGCTGCGGGAGCACCGCCGGACGCCGCTCGAGCGCCAGCTCGGCGCGGAGTGCGGCGATGCAGGCCTCGTACGCTTCGCGGCGCTCCTGGCGTAGCGAGGAGGAGGTCTTCCCGTCCGTGTCCTCGAAGCCGCCGGAGGCAGAGTTGCCCATGGAATGGGAGACCTGGTGATCTTCTCACCACTGAACGCCTGACATGAGAAGAAAACACCGCTGCTAATACTTGCACGCTATGCGAGCGGGGCGGGATGCGCGCTGTCCCTCGGGTTTGTGCGTCACCCATTCTCCTTTCTCTCCAGGAGATGCCTGCTCTATTTATTGGAACACGTTGCCCCTGTTGGTGCTGCAGTGAGTGACTTACGGGAGCCATAACTCTAACAACAAATCTCTCTCTCCTAACTCTATCTCGGCAGTATCTTGCACTTACTTCATTCATTTGGGTGGGGCCTGGAGCCCTGGTGTGCAAGGCGCGCTGCGCCAGTGAGCACTCCGCCCCCTCCCAGCTTCGTTCCTTCCATTTTCCCGGTAATACGTAAAGCTCGCGGCGGTGTGCACCTTTAGGGCAAAGGCTACGTAGCCCAAACTCGCACGTCCTCAAGTTCTCCACAATGCTCGACGCTCTCCCGTCCCGGCTGGGCGCGATGTACCAGAGCATTCCGACCAAGGACCGCCTCTGCGAGATCGCCACCCTCGCCTATCACGACGGCGAGGCGCGCGCCAGCCTCGTCGGCTCCACCCTCCACTCCACCGGCGCGGACCGCTTCCTCTCAGAGGGGCAGCTCTTGGCAGTCTCAGAATTGGTCCAGGACGGGGATGCGACTGCCCTGATCGCCGAGGGCAAGAAGGCGGCGGAGACTTATCTCTCCAAGGCGGCGCTGGTGGAGAAGAAGGAGGCGGTGCTCGTGGACGTCAAGGAGCTGGCGGCAGAGAAGTTTGTTGCGCCCGCCAAGGCGGCAGAGAAGTTTGTTGCGGCCCGCGCCGCTCCATACCTGACCAAGGTGGCCGACAAGAAGGCGGCACTCGTCGAGACGAAGGAGGCGATTCTCGCCGACAAGCGGCTGAGCCGCGCGCTTGAGGCGCTCGCGATGGCGCGCGACCACCCAACCGAGACGGCAGTCGCGCTAAAGGCGAGCGCGATCTCCCTCCTGCAGTACGACAAGGTGGCCGAGTATCGCGACTATGTCCAGGAGACCTTCGCCACCGATCTTGTGGCCAAGTTCGCCCCGCAGCTCTCCGGTCCCGATCTCGGCGACGCCGCCCAGCACGGCATCACTCGGGTCCGTGCTACGATGGCGGCGTTGTCGACCGAGCTCTACTCGTTCCCGCACGAACGCGTCAACGTATTGAGCTTCAAGGCACGCTCGCTCCTCTCCGAGCTCACTCTGCAAGCCTCGCAGCTTCCGAACGCCGAGTCGACGCAGGCGGCCCTCGCCTCCCTCGCCAAACTTCTCGCGCCGGAGCCGGTAGTCGAACCCGCCGCTGAGTCTGCGACTACAGCGACCGACGAGGAGCGCACTGCGGTGAGGGCGAGCCTCCGCGACCGCCCCATCGCCCGCGCGCGAGCTAAATCCCTGCGTGTCATGGCGGACTCCAAGTCGGGGCTGATCCTGTAAGCCACCCTCCCTCGGGACATTGTGCTGCGGCCCCTGTGAGCTGTGTGCCTCTCCTCCTTTGCTCTCTCTCCTGTGCGCTGTGGTCTCCGCACTCCGGTGAGTATGATGCGTTGTCCGCCCTCAGCGCTCGTGCGCTGTGCTGTGCTTAAAGTTGTGATGATGATGTGCTGACGGAAACCCAACAGTTGAAATAACACAAAAGCGTCAAAATCCTTGCACCCCGCACCTGCGGGCCGAACCCCGAACGCCACGCCGCGCTCGCGACGACAGGCGTGCGGCGCGTGCCTGCCGCCTCTCTGTCACCTGGGCTCTCACGGCGTCGTCGGAGAAGCCGGCGAGCGTGCCACCGGCTCAACCTCGTCGCCCTCCTCCACAAACATCCGCTCGGTTCCGCCGGCACGCTCCGCCGCGGCGCGCTCCAACTCGCAAAAGACGCCAAAGTTTATGCGCGCCTGTTTACAACAGGCTCACGCGTGGAGAGACCCGGGCCACAGAGGGTGAGGCATGAGTCGGCGCGTGCATGCGAGCGGCGGTAGGTGGCGAGTGTCCTCAGCACCGAGCCGTGCCGCGCCCCCGAGGCAGGGTCCACCTCCACCATGCTGCAGCGTGCGCACGGGCCGGCCACGCGCAAGCGCAGCCCGCCGACGCGGAGGGCCGTCCAGCCATCCTCTGCGCCGGAGGCGGCTGCAGAGAGGAGCGGAGCCTCTGGGCGTGTGCCGCCCGGGGAAGCGCGGGGAGCGCCAACCACGATGTTTGGGCGGAAGCTCCGGGCGCCGACTGGGCGCTCCCCCTCGCGCCTGCAGCTGGCGGGGCGCGGCGTCGAGAAGGGGGGGGGGGGGGGGGCAAGAAACCCGGGCGGCAAAAGGTACCTGGGGGCTGGGGCGGGGGGGGGGGGGCCCTCCCCCCAACGCGTTATTGAGGGTTTCGACGGATTTTTGGGAAACAAGAAAAAAGGGGCCCCCTTTGGAAAAACCAATCGAGGGGGCCCCCCCCCCTGCCAAGGGGGGGCCCCGCGCCCCCAAAAAACCCAAAAACCGGGACGGCACCCCCCCTGGGGGCTTAAACCAAAGGGCCCCCTTTGGGCCCCCAACCCCCGCGCCGTAAAATTCCTCCCCCCAAAGGGTCAGGGACTCCTCGGGGGAACTCCAGGGGAAACGGGCGGCCCCCGGTCCCCCTCCGGAATGCACCTGGGTTTTGAAAAAACTTTTAAAATAAAAAAAGGGCCCGGGGGGGGGGGGGAATTTTTTCGGGGGGGGGCCCCCCCCCCCTGTTTTTTTT